AACTGTAGAAACCAAAAATTACAGATCGGAAAATTGAAGACACGAAAATTTGAAAAGTCGGAGAATGAAAAAGTTCCAAACTTTATATTAATAACTGAAAAATATTAAATTAAAAATTCGATCAATCGCAAATCTGGAAATTGTAAAATAAAAAAATCGCTAAATAAAAATCTAAAAATGAAATGAAAAGTCGGCAAATTGAAGCTAGAAAAATTGAAATAAGGTAAAGTGTAAATTTGTCAGATTGAAAAATTGCAAATAAAAAATTGAAGAAAGGAAAATTTGAAAATTCGAAAAATTCGAAACATTTTAAATTGCAAATTGAAAAATTGCAGAAACGAAAAATTGAAAAATCAAAAAATTAAAACTCCCCAACGCAAAAATCGAAAAATTGAGAAGCTGAAAAATCGAAAGACTGATTAAATTAAATTAAAAATTGAAGAAAAGAAGTGACAAAAAATTGAAAAATTAAAACTTGAAAACGGAAAAACGGAAAAAGTGAAATAAACGAAAATTTAGAATACCTTTGTAAAATTTGAAATACGAAAGAACTGTAAAAAACAAAAATTACAAATCGAAAAATTAAAGACACGAAATAGATTAATTGTAAAATAAAAACCGAAAAATAAAAATTGAGAAATAGAAAAATCAAAAAAGTTAAAAATCGAAAAAAATTGGAAAACGAAACATTGTAAAAAATTTTAATTTAAAATTGAAACATCGTAAGAGCGAAACATTTTAGAAACGATAAATTGAAAATTATAAAAATTAGAGAAACAGGAAAATTGAAAAATCAAAATATGTAAAAATTGAAAAATTGAATGGACAAAGATGGAAAAATTAAAAAATGAAATTTTCAAACGCTGAAAAATTCAAAATTTCGAAAATTTTAAATTGTAAATCCAAAGATTGAAGACATGGAAACTTGAAATGTCGAAAAATTAAAATTCGAAAAACGGGAAAATCGAAAACTCGAAGAAACCAAAAATTCAAATATGTAAAAACTGCAAAAGCAAAAACTGTAAGAGCGAAAAATTACAAATTGAAAAACTGAATACATTAAGAATTAACAATTGAAAAACTGAAAAGCTGAAAAATCTAAAACTTGAAAATTGCAATAATTGAAAAATGAATAACTGAATAATGTTAAATTGAAAACTCGAAAAATCGAAAAATCGCAAACGTAGAAATTGTAAAATTAAAAAATCGAAGAAACGAAAATTTGAAAATTCGAAAAATTCGAAAAATTTTAAACTGCAAAACGCAAAATTGCAGAAACGAAAAATTGCAGTAACAAAAAATTGAAAAAACGAAAAATCAAAATTCGAAAACGGAAAAATTGAAAAACTGAATAGTCGAAAAATTGGAAAGTTCCAAAGTTGAAAAATTGATTAATTGAAAAAATTTAAATTGAAAACCAGAAAAATCGCAAATTGAAAAATTGCAAAATATAACTCGGAAAATTAAAAAGCTGAAAAATCGAAAAGCTGAAAAATCGAAAATCTGAAACAAGGAAAAACGTAAAATCTAAAAATTGTAAGAATGAAAAATTACCAGTCAAAAATTGAAGAATAGAAAATTTCAAAATTCCACCAAATCGGGAAACGGAAAAATAAAAAAATCGAAAAATCGAACAAACCAAAAAAAATAGGAGTATCTAAAAAAATCTATAAATTGTAAAAGCGAAAAATTACAATTCAAGAATTGAAAACATGAAGAATTGACAGTTGGAATAACTAAACAGTTGAAAAATCGAAAAATTTTAAATTGAAAAACTAATGAAACCAAAACTTGAAAAATTAAAACTCGCAAACGGAAAATCCGAAAAAATGAAAAACCAAAATTTAGAATACCTACATTTGTAAAATTTGAAAAAACTGTAAAAACCAAAAATTACAAATCTATAAAGTGGAGAGACGAAAAATTGTGAAATTCCAAAGTAGATAAATAGATTAATTGTAAAATAAAAATCGGAAAATTAAAAATTGAGAAACTGAAATATCAGAAAAATTGAAAATCGAAAAATTTGAAGAAACGACAAATTAGAGAAACAGAAACTGAAAAATCAAAGTTTGTAAAAATTAAAAAATCGAAAAATTGAATAGACAAAGAATGGAAAACTTAAAAAATCAAATATTCAAACGCTAAAAAACTGAACAATTCAAAAAATTTTAAATCCAAAGATTGAAGACATGTCGAAAAATTAAAATTCCAAAAACAGAAAAATCGAAAAGTTGAAACCAAAAATTAAAATATGTAAAAATTGAAAAATCGATTGTAAAAAATTGTAAAAGCGAAAAATTACAAATCGTAAAACTGAATACAAGAAGAATTGCAATTCGAAAATCTGAAAAGCTGAAAAATCGGAAGATTGAAAAATTTTAAATTGAAAATCGAAAAACTGAACAAACAAAAAATCGAAAAATTAAAACTGGAAAACGGAAAATCGGTAAAATTGAAAAAACGAAAATTTAGAATACCTTTAGAAAAATTAGAGAAGCAGAGAAATTGAAAATTTAAAATTGAAAAAAACGAAAATTTAAAAGTTGTAAAATTGGATAGACAAAGATTGAAAAATTAAAAAACTGAAACATTCAAACGCTGAAAAATTGAAAAATTCAAAAATTTCATTGAAGACACGAAAATTCGAAAAATTGAAAATTTGGAACAATGAAAATTGTGAATAGTATGGAAAAAATAAAAAATCAAAAACTGTAGACACCAAAAATTACAAATCAGAAAACTGAAGACACGAAAAATTGAAAAGTCGAACCACTGAAAAATTCCAAAGTTGAAAAATAGAATAAATGACATTTTTAATTTAAAACTCGAAAAATCGCAAACTGGAAAATTGTAAAAACTGAAAAATTGTAAAAATGAAAAACTGTGAAATAAAAATTTGAAAAATGAAAAATTGAGAAACTGATAAAAGAAACACTGAAAAATTATGAAAAATGAAAACTCGTAAAATTGAAAAAACCAAAAAGGTAAAATTGCAAGATCAAAAAAATTCCGGAATAAAAACTGAGCAATTGAAAAATGAAAAAAGGATAATTTGAAAACTTAAAAACAGCAAAATTAAAAAAAAAACAAAAATATAAAACTAAGAAATTGTAACATGGAAAAAGTGCAAATCGAAAGAGTGATAATTGAAAAATTAAAAATCCAAAAGAATAGAAAAAATGATACATCAAAGGACTGAAAAATCGCAAAACTAAAAAAACGCAAAATTAAAATACGTACATTAAATTGTAAAAGTGAAAAATTGAAGGCACGAAGAATTGGAAATTTAGAAAATAAAAAATTTAAACAACTGAAAATTTGGACACTTGTAATAATTGGAAAGTTGAAAAATTTAAAAACTGAGAAATTTTAATTTGCAAATTTGGAGAATCGAAAAACTGAAAAATCGAAAAATTTAAGGCATGAAAGACTGAAAAATTCGAGAGTTGAAAAACCGGATAATTGAAAAATTTTGAAATTGAAAACTCAAAAAATTGCAAAGCAAAAACTGTAAAATCGATAAATTGCAAAATAAACATGGAAAAATTAAAAAGATTCGAAAACTGAAACGGAATATTGAGAAAACAAAAATTATAAAATTGAGAAAAACTGAAAAACCGCAAATTGGAAAATTAAAATTTGTAAATATTGGAAAATCCAAAAGAAGAAAAATCAAAAATTTTAAATCGCAAAAGGGAAAAATTGAAATATCTTAAAAATTAAGAAACAAAAAAATCTAAAAACTGAAAACCCGAACAATTATAAAAGAGAAAAATTACAATTGGAAAGCTTCTTATTTTTGAATATTATTATAAACACTCTGTATAATAAGGTTCAATTTTAGTGGTATCACAACAAAACTGATGACATAATAAAATTAATAAAAATAAAATCCAGTAACACACTAGAGAAATTTCAAAAAATAAAATGGCCTAGTAGTTTTGCTCTTAATGGGACAACTTTTATCTGTATAAAAGTTTAAATGTTATCTGAATCATGAACTTCAGTTAAAAATGCCCGTCGACATCAGAACCGATTGCGCTACTTGAAATTCATTTTACATACTTTCCGCCCGAATCGCCTCTGTGAACCCATTATGCAGTATATTTCCTCTAATACCGCCCTTTACTCCGCCGAGCACTATTTCGATTCAGATCGAACGAATTCCCATGTCGTCGTGCTTTTATTACTTTCTATTTCAGAAAAGCGCACTACAACACAAAAACAAAACATCCCCTGCAATATCGACCAGACGGCACGGACAAAACCCATTCCGCTCCGAAAAAAGCGCAAATGAGCTTTAACACAGTTTAAATTGAAGCAATCGCTTTGTTGTCCGCTTGTACTGCATTTAATTAGCGTAATCAGACTGAACCTATATTCAAAGCGAAATCCGAATGATGGCCAGTAAAAAACGCATAAAGGGGTCGCGGCCCGGCAAAACATGTTAACGTCCAATTTATAGTAGTAGTTACAAGTGTAACGACATTCATTTTTGCGTCTACAAGCAAAACTATAAAAAGCTCGATTCGAATTAATTAAAGCGTAGTTAGCGATAATTGAAGGTAACGTAAGGAGACGGTTAAACCATCGAGATAAAATCGGATAATAAAATCGAGTTTTATAACGGTCGAGAGCGAGATTGAATAGTGAATGGGCTGCGAATTGAATGCACGCGATTAAATTAGCTCGGTTATTATACCGCAGTAAGAGCCGGATGGTGGTTGCACGATTGACGAAACGACTTGTAATTTATCGTGTTCATGTGTTCCCACATAAATTGCAGCTAAATGTGTTTTTTTCCTTATTTGGGGCAAGTTATTGCGAATTATTTGGACGACGAAGTCGTCCCATGAGCCTTTTTAAATTCAAATTAAGTGGGTTAATCAGAATGGAATTTGTGACGAGTCACAATTTTGTTACTTACAATTTTGATATTTTTATGAAAATAGTTGAGCGTCTGGAACACTACTCGTTTTTATTTCTCATGTTAGCAACGGGACCTCGCTGGTGCTCCGATATGATGTCGCGCCAGACGAAATTCCAGCCGTCTGAGGGTTGATTATCGTCGGTTAATATAAACATTCGATAAGGTGCAAGGGAAGCAGTGAAGGGGGCAGTCTGTTCTTTCTTCTTGAGGAATAAAGACGTATTTTGATTTTGCTCTCGCGTTTACTTTTCCCTGTGTAATTTTTGGGACTTGATATCATTTGATATTAGTTCAGAAGTGGGATTGTGCCACGTGCAGTGTAGTGATAACTGCAAGAGTACAGTGCGATACCTTTGTAAAAACAACAGGAGGATGGGCCGGAATAGAAAACGACGTGAGCCTTCGACCTCCTCAAGTGACGAAGAACGACATCAACGTGAAGGATGTTCTTCTAAACGTCCCCGGGAAAAGTATCCCAGTGAGAGAACTCGTCGGAGCTCGGAGACGCGACGTGCGAAAGGAGGATCCGGTGAGCGTATCGAACGTCTGGAACGACTGGTGGAAAAATTGGTCCGGGAAAGATCTACGGAAACAGGGACAAGCACGGGTCTGGGTAACCAGATCAAGTACATTACGAGAACTGACTGTATCCCGGAATTTGTTCCGGGCAACCCGAATATGTCGATTACCCGCTGGCTGTTCAAGATCGACCAGTTAGGGGAGGTCCACGGTTGGGATGACGTAGAAAAGGCGTACCACATGCAGAATGGACTCCGTGGCTTAGCCAAAAGTTGGTACAATAGCCTCAGCCATATTAATTATCCGTGGGCTGAGTGGAAAAATCTTTTAATGAAAGCTTTTCCCGAGCACACTGATTATGCGTCCTCGTTGCATAAGATGCTGAAACGGATAAAGGACCCCAACGAAACCATGGCAACGTACTATTACAATAAAATGGAGTTGTTGCAAGTTTGCCGTATTTCGGGAAAGGACGCTGTTTCTTGCGTCATAGACGGTTTGGCGAACGTAAGTTTGCAAAATGGGGCACGAGCGGGCAGATATGATTCACCAGAAGCCTTATATGAAGAATATCTGTCTCGAGTGCAAGACGAAACAGACGAAAGTAAACGAGAGAAACACAAAATGCATTGGCTGAGAAAGGAGAGTCGTGTAGACCGGAATAGGTACTTCCGAGGGGAACGTCCCCAAACGAGCGGCTCTGATCTTAACTCTAGGAAGGGGTTAAAATGTTATAATTGTCATGGCGTAGGTCATATGGCGGCAATGTGTCCGAAACCCAAGATAGTGTGCAAACGTTGCACTCGTTTAGGGCATACGGCCGAAAATTGTACAAAGAGTATTAAAGGGAAAGAGGTGTTGACCACGCAAAGTGACAAATGTGGCCAACGTGTGTATTTTGTGGACTGCGAAATGAATGGTTGTCCGACACGGGGTTATGTCGATTCCGGGAGTTCGGCGATAACAGTACAAGCTCGCACAGCTGACGAGGCTAAGATTGTGTATAAACCGTCCCGGGCGATGATAAGAGGGTTCGCCGGCGGAGTGTCACCGGTAATCGGAGAAGCCAGTGCTACACTTCAAGTAGGGGATGTGAAGGTCGACGTCCCTGTCTTCATTATTGCCGATGACCTACAAACAATACCGGTCATAATTGGACAGCCATTTGTGAATCATCCAGATGTCCTGTTGGTGATTAATGGCGACAAATTGTGGGTGTCGAAGAAATACGATCTACCGGCTCTTGAAGGGGTCGAACCGACGAAAGTCGCCGTATGGGCGAAGGAGGCTACTGTGATCCCGCCGCAACATGTTGGACATGTCGAGGTGGAAACATCATACACCGGTACCATCTACGTGGACCTGACGTCGAGGCAGTACGAGCGACATAACCACGTCATCCCCAGGTGTGTTTTTGGCGGCCTCCAGGGTGTCCTGCCTGTCATGAATTTCAGCACGGAGGAACTGCATTACCGGAAGGGACAAACAATCGTTCGTGGACAAAAATGCTACGAGGAACCGGTAAAAGACAGCGATCCTGTAAGTAATTTCATTTTGGCAACTCAGATTTCTCGCACTCCATTTACATTGCAGGATGTCAGTGTGGATCCAGGGACCCCGAGTAATGTAACAGAAAGTCTGTTACAATTACTGAACAAATATCGAGATTGTTTTGCGCAAAATCTGAACGAACTGGGAAAAACAAATTTAACCGACATGTCTATTAAATTAACCACGGACGAACCGGTAACGTACAGGCCTTATCGGCTTGCTTACGCTGAACGAGTTAAAGTACGCGAAATCGTAAACGAATTAAAAGAAAACGATATCGTTCGCGATTCGCATTCGCCATACGCGAGCCCCATTCTGTTAGTTAAAAAGAAAACAGGGGAGCAACGACTGTGTATCGATTATCGCGCTTTAAATAAAATCACTGCAAAAGATAAGTACCCAATTCCACGTGTAGACGATCAGCTGGATCGGTTGTACGGCGCTGCATATTTTTCTAGTTTAGATTTAATGTCTGGGTACTATCAAGTAGGCATGAATGAAGAATCGATTCCAAAAACTGCTTTCATAACACCGGATGGACATTTTGAATTCTTGCGTATGCCGTTTGGATTAGTAAACGCTCCTGCGGTATTTCAACGTCTCGTTAATCAAGTTTTAGGAAATTTGCGCTTTGAAAATGTTCTCGCATATATGGATGACATTTTGTTACCTGCGACTGATTACGAATCCGGCTTGCGAATGCTCGAGAAAGTTCTGCAGAGCTTCCGTGCATCACATTTAACGTTGCGATTGAGTAAATGCCATTTTTTCCAAAAGCAATTGGAATATTTGGGACATGAAATAACGAAAGACGGGGTACGACCAGGCAATAACAAAATAATGGCGGTGCAAAGTTTTAAAACACCCGAAACAGTACGTGAAGTCCGTCAGTTCATCGGTCTTGCGAGTTATTTTAGAAAATTTATACGTGATTTTGCCACCATAGCGAAACCATTGACAGCGTTAACGCGAAAGGGGACAGACTTTGTCTGGCAAGATGAACAAGTGAAAGCTTTCGAAATATTAAAGGCCAAATTAACGGAACGGCCACTCTTCGCGCTATATGACGTTAATGCGGAAACCGAAGTTCACACAGACGCTAGCAAGTTGGGGTTGGGCGGTATTTTAATGCAGAAACAAATAAATGGCCGTTGGCAACCTGTTATGTACTTTAGTACGCAGACAACTAAGGAGGAACAGCGGTATCACTCGTATGAGTTAGAAACTCTCGCAGTTGTTCAAGCTCTAAAGCGATTTCGTCCTTATTTATTCGGAAAAGAATTTCGGGTGGTTACAGATTGCAATGCATTGCGAACGGCGTTCACGAAACGGGATATTTTACCACGAGTTGGACGGTGGTGGTTAATGATGCAAGAGTACGACTTTACGGTAGTTTATAGGCCGGGCAGCGGAATGAGTCATGTTGATGCGCTAAGTCGAAATCCGGTGGAAGCTCCAATAAGTTTTGACGAACTAGATTTATTAACAATAAGCCTAACTGAAGACGATTGGGTGCTTACCGCACAATTGCAAGACGATCGTATTGCGTATTTACATGAAGTTCTGTCTCGAAATCCTGCGGACCGTGATGAGAAAAACATCCATACGGAGTATAAATTACAAAATAATAGAGTTTTTCGGAAAACCGAGGACGGATTACGATGGGTCGTTCCTAAAACAGCTCGACGGCAACTAACGATGCTTTGTCACGACGAAAAAGGGCATTTTTCCGTCGATAAAACATTTAGTTTAATGAAACAAAATTACTGGTTTCCGTCAATGCGACAATATGTAAAGCGGTATATTTCAAGTTGTTTAGGATGTCTGTTTAATAAAGCTCCTGCGGGAAAACAACCTGGTTTCTTACATCCAATAGAAAAAGTCCCAGAGCCTATGAATACTATACATTTGGACCATTTAGGTCCGTTCGTTAAGAGTAAGCGTAAAAACACACATTTATTAGTAGCTGTAGATGCGTTTACGAAATTCGTAATTATGAAAGCTGTGCCTAATACGAAAGGGGTGCATGTCGAAAACTTTTTGCGAAATAAAATCATCGAAGCTTTCGGTGTTCCAAAGCGGATAATTACCGATCGTGGCACGTGCTTTACTAGCAAAAAGTTCACGCAGTTATGTAAAACACTCGGTGTTAAAGTAGTACTTAACGCAACGGCTACGCCACGCGCAAACGGGCAGGTAGAACGATATAATCGTACGATTTTAGCTTCCCTATCAGCGACGTTCTCTGATGAGGAAAGCTGGGACAAAGAAGTCCCAAAAGTAAGTTGGGGTTTGAACACTACGGTTAATAAAGCTACGGGAACAACCCCATTTAAGTTGTTATACGGTTACGAACCACGGAGCGCGCACGATGCGTTCATTGTAAATGAAGTTGGTACTGATCAGTATAATAAAGACTTGGCCAAGACACGAGAGGCAGTTGGGGAAAGTCTCCGACTGCAGCAAGAACGTGAAAAGTCACGTTATGATCGCAGACGTTGCGAACCGAAGAAGTTTCGGATTGGACAACTGGTCCTGGTGCGAAAAGTTCGCACCACAAACGAAGGGAGTAGTAAGAAGTTACTACCTAAGTACGATGGGCCCTATACGATTAAAAAGGTGTTAGATCATGATCGCTACGTTATCGAAGATCCGAAGGGATCTCAAAGAAGCCAGAAACGTTACACTGGTATTCATTCTGTTGACAAATTAAAGCATTTTCGAGTCTGTCGAAGTGACGATTCAGATGCTTCTCGGTCTGACGAGGCTAACGACTAATTATTTGTGTGTTTGCAGGTATGTGTGTCTCATGATGCTTAGGATACTGCTACCCCCCAATCACAGTTTCCTCGAGGACGAAACAACGTCAGAACGGCCGAGCTGTTAGCAACGGGACCTCGCTGGTGCTCCGATATGATGTCGCGCCAGACGAAATTCCAGCCGTCTGAGGGTTGATTATCGTCGGTTAATATAAACATTCGATAAGGTGCAAGGGAAGCAGTGAAGGGGGCAGTCTGTTCTTTCTTCTTGAGGAATAAAGACGTATTTTGATTTTGCTCTCGCGTTTACTTTTCCCTGTGTAATTTTTGGGACTTGATATCATTTGATATTACTCAGACGTGTTTTATTTTCCTTCACTGGCACTTGTGGCATCTAAAAACCTATTTTATTAACACGCGAAATGTGGTGGCTCATGTTTGCTATGAAGAGGTGCTTGTACATCCACAGCTCTGTGTAAACATAGAGTGGCAGAACTCGCACGTATAAATCGTCTAAGACTTCCTGTGTTTGTTTTAATACAAGATTTCTTAGGGTCCTTACAAACACAAACTGCAAATATCACTGTTTGTTTAAAATATTAAGACACTCTGAATAATAAACTGTGCCGTTAAAATAAACGTTAAGATTATCGAACACGGGTTCAATGAAAATGAAACTTTCACTATTGGTGGTCTGCGTATTTGTACATCGGAATTAGATTTGAATGAATGCGAAGCTCGTACTCATAATAATCAACGAAGTTAACGAGTTGGCTAAATATATAATAATAATAATATCAGATTAAATAATAAAATTAATTTATTCATTAATTTAACGTATAAAGTATAATTAAAAAATGGTGACACTCCATCCACTTACTTACATGTGTTGCGCTCTTGAACTTGATTGCGAGTGCAGCGAGCACATTCAGGTGTTATTCAAAATTATTATTAATAAGAAAATTTTCAGTGTATAAAAAACGAATCTTGAAGATTCATGAATACTGAAGTCGCAACATGAACGTGCTCGCAGCGCTCGCAAAGGTTTGTTTTTTGAAGTAACGCTTAGAGTGCGAGCACAGGGAGCATGTGCCGATCTTATTAACAATAATTCACAGCTCTCCCTGAGAAGTTAAATTTATTAGTAACAAAAAAATGTATTTATCGTCAAAAAAAAAAATTTATGGTTGGAGAGACGTGAATGTGCTCGCTGCGCTCCTATTTTGAGGGTGTGTTTTTTAAGATGTAGAGGTTTATTATTACAATTGAACCCGGACAGCTTTGCTAAGACATTTTCTTGAATACTATAAGAATTAAATCCGAAAAAAATATCGAAAAACTGAAATATTCAATAGTTGAAAAACCGAAAAATTGAAAAACTGCAAAGTAGAAATAGAAAAATTAAAAATCCAAACATTGGTAAAATGATAATTTAGACCACCAATTGAAAGTAAAAATTGAAAAGTCGGCAAATTGAATATTCGAAAATTTGAAATTTTGAAAATAGAAAAATCAAAATTTTGAAAAATTCAATACTGCAAATTGATAAATTGAAGAAACGAAAATGGAAAAGTCGGAAAATTGAAACATTCTGAAATTGAAAAATGGAAGATCGAGAAACTGGAAATTGAAAAAATTCGTCAAAATTGAAAAATTGAAAAATTGAAGACAAACATAAAAAATAAAAAAAATGAAAATTCAAAAAACTGAAATATTCAAAAGTTAAAAAATCGAAAATTTGAAAATTTTTAAATTGCGAATCGAAAAATTGAAGAAACGAAATTGAAAGCTCAAAAAATTAAAAAATCGATTAAATGCAAAATTTTAAATTGAATAGTCGAAAATGGCAAATTGAAAAATTGCAAATACAACAAAATATAAATCGAAAAATTAAAAATTAAGAAACTGAAAATTCGAAAAAATGAAAAACCAAAAAATCTAAAAACGAAAAATTTAATAAAGCAAAAATCTAAAATCGATAAATCGAAAAATTTAAATTTGCTAATCGAAGGATTGAATAAACGAAAAACTGAAAATCTAAGAATTTAAAAAACAAAAAGTGAATAATTGAAAAAAAATATATGTAAAAAATGAAAAACCGAAAAAGTATAGAAAATTCAAAATTCAAAATAAATCAAAGGAATATTCAAAAGTCGAAAAATCGGAAACTTGAAGTATTCAGAAGTTGAAAAACTGAAAAATTGAAAAAAAAGAAAAATTGAAAATTTGAAGAATTTAAAAATTCCAGGATTAAAAACAGATTCGTTGAAAAATTTTAAATTGAAAACTCTAAAAATCGCAAGTTGAGAAATCAAATATTAAGAAAACGAAAATCGTAAAAATGAAAAATCGAAAAATCGTAAAACGAAAAACTCAAAAAGGCAAAAATCTAAAATCGAAAAATTGAACAAATCAATTGAAAAATTCTAAAAGTTTGAAAAAAGGAAAAACGAAAAATTGAAAAATCGCAAAATTAAAAAGACGAAGGACTCAAATTTTAAATAACCGAAAACTCTAAAAATTGAATTATTAAAAGTGGAAAAATAGAAAAATAGACAAATTTAAAGCGTCAGATCGAAAAATTGAAATATAAAAAAAATCCAAAGTTGAAAAACCGAATAAGTTTTATTTAATTGAAAACTTGAAATATTGAAGAAACGAAAAATTGAAGAAAAAATGAAAAGTTAAAAAATCGATTAATTGAGAATTGTTAATTTGAAACATTCGGAAATTGAAAAATTGGAAGATCGAAAAGCTGGAAATCGAAAAATGGAATAGGTATCCAAAAATTCGAATATGTCGAAATTGTACCGCCGAAAAATAAAAACACAAAAATTGAAAATTAAATAAATGAAAATTCGAAAAATTGAAATATTCAAAAGTCAAGAAATTGAAAACTTAAATATTTTTAAACTGCAAATCGAAAAATTGAAGGAACAAAAAATTGAAATATTCCAAAGTTGAAAAATCGATAAGAAAAATTTTAAATTGAATACATACTCGAAAAATGGCAAATTGAAAAATTCCAAAATCAAAATAAGACAATTGAGAATTAAGACACTGAAGAATTGTAACAATGAAAAATCGAAAGACAAAAAATTCGAAAAATTGGAAATTTGAAGAATTTAAAAATTCCAGGATTAAAAACAGATTCGTTGAAAAATTTTAAATTGAAAACTCTAAAAATCGCAAGTTGAGAAATCAAATATTAAGAAAACGAAAATCGTAAAAATGAAAAATCGAAAAATCGTAAAACGAAAAACTCAAAAAGGCAAAAATCTAAAATCGAAAAATTGAACAAATCAATTGAAAAATTCTAAAAGTTTGAAAAAAGGAAAAACGAAAAATTGAAAAATCGCAAAATTAAAAAGACGAAGGACTCAAATTTTAAATAACCGAAAACTCTAAAAATTGAATTATTAAAAGTGGAAAAATAGAAAAATAGACAAATTTAAAGCGTCAGATCGAAAAATTGAAATATAAAAAAAATCCAAAGTTGAAAAACCGAATAAGTTTTATTTAATTGAAAACTTGAAATATTGAAGAAACGAAAAATTGAAGAAAAAATGAAAAGTTAAAAAATCGATTAATTGAGAACTGTTAATTTGAAACATTCGGAAATTGAAAAATTGGAAGATCGAAAAGCTGGAAATCGAAAAATGGAATAGGTATCCAAAAATTCGAATATGTCGAAATTGTACCGCCGAAAAATAAAAACACAAAAATTGAAAATTAAATAAATGAAAATTCGAAAAATTGAAATATTCAAAAGTCAAGAAATTGAAAACTTAAATATTTTTAAACTGCAAATCGAAAAATTGAAGGAACAAAAAATTGAAATATTCCAAAGTTGAAAAATCGATAAGAAAAATTTTAAATTGAATACATACTCGAAAAATGGCAAATTGAAAAATTCCAAAATCAAAATAAGACAATTGAGAATTAAGACACTGAAGAATTGTAACAATGAAAAATCGAAAGACAAAAAATTCGAAAAATTGGAAAATCGAAAAATTAAGAAATTTAAATTTGCAAATCGAAAAATTGAAAAGTTGGGAAATTAAAAAATGATAATTAAAATGTCTAAAAACTGAAAAATCGAAAAATTGAAAACAAAAAAATAAGAAATTCAAAAAAACTGAAATATTCGATAGTTGAAAAAAGAACGGAAACTTGAAAACTCGAAAAATTGAAAAAAATTGAAGTTGAAAAATGAGATCTATGAAATTGAAATCTCAAAAAGCCGTATACTGAAAAATTGCAAAATATAAATCGAAGAATTAAAAATTAAGAAACTGAAAATTCCTAAAAATGAAAAACCACTCAATCGAAAAACGAAGAATTGAACAAAGCAAATATCTAAAATTGAAAAATCGAAAAGTTGAACACAAAAAGAATAGAAAATTCAAAATTCAAAATAAATCAAACGAATATTCAAAAATCGGAAACTTGAAGTATTCAGAAGTTGAACAACTGAAAAATTGAAAAAAAGAAAAATTGAATATTCGAAGAACTCAAAAATTCCAGGATTAAAAATAGATTCATTGAAAAATTTTAAAGAGAAATTAAATATTAAGAAACCGAAAATCAAAAAATTGAACAAATCAGTTGGAAAATTCTAAAAGTTTGAAAAAAAGGAAAAACCAAAAATGGAAAAATCGCAAAATTAAAAAAAAAACGACACATAAATCCCAGAGACGAAGGATTCAAATTTTAAATAATCGAAAACTCGAAAAATTTAAAACAGATCGAAAAATTCAAATATAAAATATTCGAAAGTTGAAAACCGAATAAGTTTTAAATTGTAAATTTGAAATATTGAAGAAACGACAAATTGAAGAAAAAACGAAAAATTGAAAAATGCGCAAGTTGACAAATCGATTAATTGAGAACTGTTAAATGAAAACTTAAAAAGTCGCAAACTTAAAAATTCTAAAATATAAATCGAAAAATTAAAAATTAAGAAACTGAAAATTCGGAAAAATGAAAAATCAAAAAATTGGAAAACGAAAAATTGAAAAAGTAAAAATCTAAAATTGAAGAAACGAAAAATTGAAAATATAAAAATTCGAAAAACAGAAAAACTGAACAATTGAAGAAACGAAAAATTAAAATACTTACATTACAATTAAAACCTGAAAAATTTAAGGCTGTAAATTGAAAAATTGAAGAAACGAAAAATGGAAAATTCGAAAAATGGAAACATTCTGAAATTGAAAAATTGAAAGATCGAAAAAGTGGAAATCGAAATATTGAATAGGTATCTAAAAACTGGAAGAACGAAAAAATTGAAATAT